TCTGGGCATCTGAGGGGTGTCCGCAGCACGGCGTGTAGCCAGGGGAGGGAGCCCGGAGCCCTGCGGGGGCATCCCTGTCCCTCGGGCTGGGGGCTCCCAGGCCCACACCTGGCTCTTGGCGAGGGGCCGAAGTCTGGCTGCTCCCCACAGGCCTCAGACTCCAGCCTCCGAATTCGACTCACTGTAGCCTGCAGGGGCCACCCGCCCGGCCGGGGCCTCCGCCTGGGCTGCACCTCAGATCTTCCCAAGTCTTGGGCTGAGCTGTTGGTTTCTCTGGGGCTCCATCCCGCATATGGCTGTGTGGGGCTGTCCAGCCTCCTCCTCTGACAGTGTAAACCAATGCAATAATTTTCCCACCTCGGACCGCGTGACGTGCTGTACTTCAGCGCAGCAGCCTGACGGACATACACAGCGAGCGCTCTGTGCTGGATCCTGCCCTGCTCTGGGACCAGCAGTCTCCCCTCCTGGACCTGGGCCTTCCCTGGGCTCCGTCCATCCGTACATGGACCCTCCTGGCCCAGCCCTGTGCCTGCACAAGGTGGAGGCAAGACCTGAGTCTCGACCACCGCATCAGCCAAGGCAGCCGCTCCACCTTTGGTGTGAGCCTGCGTGAACATCTGCTGCTGCTCAGGAAACTGAGGCACAGACCGCCACAGTCACCCCTATGTGTCAGGGCCGCGGTGAAGGGGCTGCTCTTAGGGGCACCTGGGGACCAGGGTGAGTAGGGCATCTGCCAATCCGCCCCCAATGCCTGTGGGCTCTTCCTGCTTGGTCAGTGCTGGCCAAACAGCCCAGTGGCTGCCAGGAGAGAGCGACAGAGCAGGTCCTCCTCTGTCTCCATGCCCAGGCTGGATTCAAGCCGCCTGAAGACAGCTTGCAGGGACTGGGCTGTAGCTCAGACATCCTGCTCTTGCCTAGCATATGTGAGGCCCTGGGTTTGGCTCCTAGCACCAAAAACAAAGCAGTTCGCGATTCTGGATGGCGATGGTGTGCTGCCAGCTCTGGGAGGTGGCCCTGCTGTCCAGCAGCCACCCCTGCTGGGCATGAGACAGCAGCCCCAGGAGGCTGTGCCAGGCTGGGGCGGGCGGTGCCACGCTGGCTCCAGCACTCCTCCGAGTCCCCTCTGTCCTCTCCTGAATACGTTTGTGCCACCAGGGCTGGCTCAGAGGCGGTGGACGCCCGGGCTCTGCATTGTATGGGGCTCACACAGGTCCCCGCGGAGCAGGGAGCTGAATATTTATGAGTCGGATTGCCATGGTCTCGGGGCTCTGAACTCCAAAGGAACTTTCAGGACTTTCATTTCTTTCCCTGAAGATCTTGGTGTCTGCATGGCCCAGCCTCCCTGGCCCGGGGTCTACATCTGTGGTCTTTTCCCCATGTTAAGATAGTGTTTCATAGAGGCAGGTTGGGTAAAATGTATTTCCGTCCTGATACAATATATTAAAATATATTTCCATTCTAACTAAGCCAGTGTCTGTTTTGAATGAGTCACCACGATGCACAGTAATTAGGAATCATGAGTCTGCAGAGACCTTTGCCAGGCAGGCAGCCGTTTGCTCACTCCAACCCTCCATCCTGACCAGAGATTTCCCCCGGAATGTGACCTCCACTTTCTGCCCTGTAAGCCAAGGACGTTCTTCCTCAATTCTCAACAAGTCGCGGGTTCAGAAAACGAGAGCGTTCACAAGGAGCGTCCAGGCCCGAGCCTGGAAAAGCAGGGCCGGGGAGGCCCGAGAGAACCTGGCGGCCTGGCCTGGGGACAGGGGCTCCGGGTTCTCAGGCTGCTCTTCTGCGTGCCTTCCCTCCCCTCTCTGTCCCTCTGTCCCTCTTCCTTCTCTGTCTGTCCCCCTTTCTCTCTCCTTCCCCTGTTTCTGTACTTCTCTCTTTCCTTTCTTTCTTCCCCTCCTTCTCTCCATCTCCTTTAGTCTTTTCTATCTCTCCTTCCTTCCTCTTCCTGTCTCTCCCTTTTTTCTCTCTTCTTGTCTCTCTCTCCTCTTCCTCTACTTCTCCCTCCCTTTCTCCTTCATCTCTCCCCTCACCTTCTTCTGTTTCCCCTCTCTCTCCCTCTCCTTTCTGTTTTGCTTTCTCTCTCCCTTTTTCTTTTCTCTCTCCCCCCGCCCCCGCCCTCTCCCCTTCCACCCCATCCTGCCTGACCCCTTTGCATCTAGGGTTCACCACTGCTGTGCTCTGAGACTGCAGGCCCCTCCTTGCCTGCTGTTCTACCCCAAGAATTTTTTAAAACCAGGAAGGGAGTTTCTCTTCCCTGCCTACCTCCTTTTGCTTGGAGAATTCTGACAGGGCTGCTGTAAGTACTAAGTATTACTATAAAGTGCTTGCTAGTAGGGAGACTTAGTGATCCCATCGGACTGTGGTCTGCAGCATTTCCTAAACTACACCAAGCACCCCCAGGGCTTTGAATAAAAATGGAGATTGTATTTTCTGGTGTGGGGTTCAAAATTAGGCCTTGCGTTTTCCCAGGCCCAGTACTCAGCGACAGGGCCATTTGGGTGAACAGACTGCTGCGTGTGTGAACGGGTCTGTCGCTCAGCCTTGCCAGAGTCGTGGCTTCCAAGATGCGGTCCCAGGTGCAGGGGACCAAAGCGGCAAACAGCAGTGCCACTCGGGGAGGCTCGCTTCTCTTTGCTGTGTTGTCCTCTGAACTCCCCTTCCCTCTCCTCCTCTTCCTTTCCCTCCTCCCTTTGGCCCCAGGCCCACTGAACCGGAAGCTGGGGTAGGCCGGGCAGCTGTGACTAACAAGCCCTAGGGATGCAGATGCCCCTCAGATTTGGGAGTCAGCCCTGCCAGGTGGGACACAAACTTCTCCTGGGTAACCTGGGAAATGCACGGAAGGAACCCAATTCAGAAGACAGATGGGATGAAGCCCAGAAGGTCGAGCTCCTGCACGGCGGTCCTGTGCCTGGAGCATCCCCAGAGGCCTCAAATTGCAGCTCGATCCCAGCCCAGGGGTCACTGGGAGGCCTGCAGGTCCAGGGCCGCCCTCCCGGGGGTGCCCCTCATCCTCCTGCCCTCTGTAGCTGGCATGAAGTGAGCGGTACACCTGGCCACATGCCCCACCGTGCCGTGGACTGTGGACAGAGCCCTCTCAGACTGGGCTGAGATAAACCTCTCCTTTACAAATGGGCCATCTCAGGCATTTGTAATCATGATGGATGGTGAACTCGGCCCACACCCAGGGACTGGAAGGCTTAAGATAACCACAAGAGGTTAGGAACATAACCAGGCCTCTTGTGAGCTCAGAGTTTACCTGGTTTCTTCCTCCTTCATTGTATAGCCCTAAGTGAAAACACACAAACAAAAGCCAATAAATCTTCCACACAAGAGTCAGCTGTCCTTTTATACATTCTTTTTTCTGCCAATGCAGAAACTCTGGGCTTTCAAAATTCATTTGATGAAAGAGTTGGGCGTGGCCTGGGTGCGGTCTACACACTTGGGGTGTGCAGCTGCCCTCTCCGAGCAGGACCCAACCACCCAAAGGGGGAAAAAGTTGAAGAGCTTACCCTGGTCGAGTTAGTTCATTTAGTTTTGCTTCTAACGCCACAACAACGCTTTTTTCAGACTTTATCCAGCATTAGAGCGACATTTACAACTAAGCACTGCATACTTAAAAAAAAAAAAGGCAGGAAGCAGAAAGAGGTCAGTGTGAACGTGTCTCTGCGTGGGGATCTCTAAGCGAGGGACCGTAGGAGAAAAGCTTTTTTGATGGAAAAAAACAAACAAGGATCTTAGCTGAGAGCAACCCAGAAGTGAAGTCCAAAGTTTGCAAGTCAGGATTTTTGCCCTATTAAATCACTACTGTTAATGAATCCTGATTGTGTTTCAGGATGAGACGTTAGGCAGAAAGAGCCAAGTGGGAAGAACAGTTCTCTGAAAGCAGAAAGAGTAAACGTGAGGCCGCGAGCTCCCGCAGCCCAGGCCACCAGGGGGCGCCCGGCGGCCCGGGCGGCCGGCGCATTTTCTGCCTCGAGGTCCTGTCATTCTCTAAACAAGTTACGTCCAAGTGTTTAGGGTATAAATTACGACCATGCCGGCCGCCTCGGGAGGAATGTAAACACAGCACTGTGGTCGGAGCAAACTCTGAGACTGACTTCATAATTTATAGCAGGCCCCTGAGCAGCTCAGTGTAAAAGACAAGAAAAAAAGAAAAAAAGAAAAGGCCCTATTTAAATGGAAATGTGATAATAGAGAGATAAAAAATATTTAAATCACTGCTTAATTTTGGAAAACATAGAAGGGAAGCCTACGGATTAGGAAGATGGTTAAGACTTTTTAAAAAACAACAAGATGCCTACCCTAGCTTGTATCTGGCCTGAAATTCACTTAGACTTTAGGGGGCCAGAAACCAAGGTAAGTTTCACATTCAGGAGGGCAAAAACAAAACCAGAGGTCCAGCCCCGAGCTGGAGAGAAGATGCCCAGGGGACTGTGGTTGAGGGGCTCTGGGTCCCCGGGGTCCATGTTGGGGCTGGAGCCGACGCCCTTCTGCTGGGTGTCCCACATCCCCTGCAGCATTCCTGATGGGGATCCCAGGGGCCTGGGGGCACAGCGCAGGCCGGGGTGTCCAGCGGGACAGGGCCAGCTCTGCCCGGGCCCACAGCGCTTGCTGCTGGGCAAGAGGAAAGAGCCCGGAAACAGAAGGAGCCCCAAACTTGGGTTTCCTCAAATCAGACCCTCGCCTCTCATTATCTTGCCTGGTTTTCTTTGCATTTCTTTTCACCTTCTGGTTTTTGTTTAGGCAGAAAAAAAACCTAAGCACAAAGCAGAGGAAGGGATAGGCGTCCCCGCTTGTCTCTGGCTCTGAGAAGACCCACAGGCGGAAGCTGGCCTGTGTTACTAGAGACAGACTCCACACCACGCCGGTTACACACCCGGGTGGGCATGGAGAGCCACAGCGCTGGGGGAGGTGCGGCGACAGACCCAGGCAGGCACCGTGGAAGGAAGCCGGTCCCTGAAACAACGATTTGTTATATACATTTTATTGAAAAAAATTTTACATCAAAATATTTTGGCAAACTGTAAAAGTATACATAAGTGCAAATATATCCTCCTTTTAAAATACAAGCAAAGTGTGAGTATACACAAAGATCATAAAAATATCTTTAGAATACGGTGGTAGAAAAGAACCTTGTAAAAACACTGTATTGTCACAATACTGAGAACCCTTTCTTAAGCTAGAATGCTGGGTCTGCTTGGTTCTTCAGAGTGCTCTGTGGCACCTGTATCCAAACAGAGTGTCTGGGGCAAACCACTCTCCTACTTAGCCGGGCAACACGCCGAGGCTTTCTTGAACGCCTGTGCTTTGCACACTGCCTTTTTCAAAAGCACACAAGTTTTCATAGATAAAGAAAAGCGCACATACACGGCTTCTCTGCTTTTTTCAGACCCTGATTACGGAAGGCAACAAAGATCCCAGAGGTATAAGTTTATGTTTTACGCTTGGCCACCTCCTCCTTCGTTTGGGTCCACTCTCCCCTGGCTGGGGCATTACCTCGCCAAGGGCTTCCCTCCTCCAGCGGCAGGTGAGGCAGAGGCCAGGCCCTGCTGGGGTTCTGCAAAGTGGCTGCTACTTACTGCTGTACTGCTGTCCCGTGCACATACGGGAGTGTGTCACCACGGCCTCCCCAGGGTCTGTCTGCCCCTCGGCCAAGGAGAGGAGAGAGGGCGGCCTGGCCTCCGGGCGACCTCCATCCACTCACATGACGCAGGGCTTAATGTCCTGACACATGCTTTGGTGGTGATGGTGATAGTAAGACCCGCTGGCCGAGGGGTGGAAGGAAGAAATGCCGTTGAAATTGAGGACAAAATCCTTTCTGTCACACACAGGCGTGGAGTGATGTTGGTAACGAGGCAGACCCACTGAAAGAAAGGAAAACCTCTTCAGAGACAGATGCACCCGATGATCACAGGCTATTTGTTAAAATTCCCATCTCGTCATGACTCAGGGTACAAAAGCAAGTGGCCCCTTGTGATACGTTGCTAAAGACAGGCAGGGAAACCCAGCCCTGCAAGGGTCTCAGTTTCAAACTTTCTATCCTAGACCCTGGCTGGAATCATGCTTTTGCTTCGGGTTGATGCACACGAAGGGAGGCAGGAGACCCTCCCTAAGGAGTGCTCCGGATTCCTGAATTTCGGCATCTCTCTCCCAGGCCTGGGTTTCCTCCCTGAGGTGCGGCGACAATCGAGTGCCCTGCCCAGAATCACAGCTGCTACCTTTGCCTCTTGTTTGAGCTTTATTTCCCAACTAACTGACCCAGCTGAGATTCAGGAAGTGGAGATGTTCCCTGCGGCAGAGGATGGGGATAGAAAACAATCTCAGGAGAAAAAGGAAGAGAAGACAGGAAAGAAAGGCACAGTGTCCCTTGCCTCCCGAGGGCCCTAAAGTCCTGGGCTTTGCTAGAGATGCCAGGACTCAGGGAGCAGAGCAGAGCTGCCTGCAGGGGTCTCCGAGGGAGCCTCAGAGGGCCCGCTCTCTCCGCCTGGGGCCGACCTACCACTGCTGTTGCTTTTACTTTCTCGTAGGGCTCAGCAGGCCTGGGCGTTACAGGGCTGGGGCCGCTCTGGCCAGGGCTTTGCCACCAACCTATCGGTGCGACAGCTGGCACTGTGTGTCCTGCCAGGCCGACCTGGTTTTCCTGTGCATGAAAACCACACACGCGAGCACAGGGGCTTGGACCCTGCACCCGTCCTGTGGGCCCCTATGGAGCTCTGGCTGCTGGCGGGTGACCGGCACCCCTGGCTTGCGGCCAGCACCTAACCCTGCAGGTGTGGGGACAGCGGCCGGGATGCAGGTCCTCCCACAGCTTCCAGGTGCCCACTGCAGTGGGGGAAGGGTGGAAGCAGGCGCTGCGAGCCTGCGAAGAGAGGAGAGCCAGATCCCCTGTGAGGCTCCAGGAGCCTAGAGAGGGGTCCGGTCCGCCTCCCGGGAGTGCGCTCCTGCATGGGTGCTAAGCTGGGTGCAGGGTGCGGGTGCAGGGTCCCCCAGGCCCTGCAGATGAGGCGCGCGGTCTGACTCAGGCCCCCCTAGAGGCCACCATGGAGGAAGGGCACTCGGAGAAAGACAAGGGAGGCGGGAGGATGAGGAGAGGCGGCCTTGATCCTGGGGAAGGACAAAGCCCCTGGTTCCCTAGGATCCACACACCTGTTGGGGCTTTTCTGGACCTGGGGCAGGGCAGCCTCGTGGGGTTGGGCTCTGTCTCTCCCTCGAGCACTCCAGGCAGCTGCCAGTCTCTCTTCTGGGTTCAAGCTGAGAAAGGCCTGCCCCAGACAGGGCATCCGGCAGAGCCCCAGTCTGAGGGGGAGACTGACAGCTGGTCGAGGGGATAAGGTTTTTTTTTTTTTTTTTTAGTACCGGGGATTGAACTCAGGTCCTTGCACTTACGCAGCAGGCAGCGAAACCACTGAGCTAAATTCCCAGCCCCTAGGGGATAAGTTTTTAAAAGGAAGAAAAAGAAAAGAAAAACAAGAGCGAGGCTGTCTGTGTTGGTCACTTCTTGAAATTCCCATAAAATGGAACAAGACTGCTCTGGGTGGGTTAAGTCAGGCTCAAATCCTCTCCGGTGTGGTCCTGCCTGCCGAGACGTCTTTGTTTAGTTAACCTCTGAGACCCACATTTAAAAGGCCTATTTGGGAAATTTCTCTGTCCAGAGAGCCAACATCTTGCGCCCATCTCTGGCCCTGGTGCTGGTTGCCCACGGATTCAGCAACATGAAGGTCGCTCTGCCGGCTCCGGCTCCGCAGCGAGGAGGGAGAACATGTGGGCCTCGCCCGGCCTGGAGGCTGCAGGATTTCAGTCCGCACAGAGAGCTGGAGGGGCTGAGCCGTGAGGGTCTATCTCCACCCTCCAAATGAAGCTGGCCACATACTACAGTTCCTAGGGCACCTTCCCCTCCCACCTTTCAGCGCTTCCCACACGGCAATAAATGTTCATAGTCTGCAGCCCACACGATGTGAATCAGCCACGTTCAGCCCGCGTGGCCTCCAGGCAGCTCTCGGGAGGCACAGCGGGAGGCTCTGGTCTGCTGCCCCAGATGGACTCCCGTGTCAGCCGTGCCCACTGTGTGTTGGGGGCTCCCCTCTAGCGAAGGTCCCCAAGACCTCGCTCTGCTTTCCAGGCCCCTACCCATAGCCCAGCACGTTTCCCTTCCTGAAATTCAGAGACAGAAGTGCAGCAAAATGAACTGCTACAACAAGAAGACAGAAAGACCCCCGCAGTTCCTGGGCCAACATCCCCGAAGGCCGGGCGCCTCTCAGAGCTGAATGGGGCTGAATCCGGACCCCACCCGCGCCCGGAGGGGAGCGGGACCCGCGGCCTTCTGGAGCTGCGCGGCTCTGGGGGCCACGGTACCGCAGGCAGAAGAGCCCACCGACCCAGCGCCCTCTCCCACAAACACGCCCCCCCCCCGCGCCGGTGCCGCACTGCACCCCGGGCGTCGCGGGGCTCAGCCCCTTACCTGAGAGGTCGTCGCGGGCGTTCTGGTGCAGGTAGCTCTGCTCCAGCGAGTAGGACGCCACGCCGGAGTGCAGGCCAGCGGAGGCCGCGGGGTTGCTGCTGGGCGTCAGCGCGGGCGGCTGCTTGAGGTAAGGCGAGGCGCCGGGCGAGCTCCAGTGCGCCGCGGGGCTCGTGTAAGGCGAGTGGCACTCGATGGCCACTGCCGGGGACGAGGGCACCGGGCTGCTGCTACTGTCCGGCCCGTAGTCCCCGCCGCCACCCGCTGCCCCGACGCCCCCCGGGCCCGCGGGCACCGGGCAGCTGGCCATGTAGGTGGAGCCCGGGTTAGGTGACATGTGCGGGACGTGGTGGTGGTGATGGTGCGGGTGCGCGTGCCCAGGGGCACCCGCGCCCGGGTCGTAGCCCGCGGGCATCATGTCGAGGCCTCCGTAGCCGCCCTGGCCCGGGCAGCCGAGCGGCGCGGCCGGGGGCGCCTGGAAGTCGAAGCCCTGGGGCAGCAGCGAGGCGCCGAAGCCCAGGCCGCCGACCACGCGGTGGTACATGGGCTTGAGCGCCTGGCACTTGCGCCTGAAGCCGCGCGGCCGGCGGCGGAACGAGCCCTCCTCGAACATGAACTCGCTGGCCGGGTCAATGGTCCAGTAGTGGCCCTTGCCGGGCCGGCCCAGCCCCTTGGGCAGCTTGATGAAGCACTCGTTGAGCGAGAGGTTGTGGCGCACCGAGTTCTTCCAGCCCTGGTAGGCGCCGCGGAAGAAGGGGAAGCGCGCCTGCAGGAACTGGTAGATCTCGCTGAGGGTCAGGCGCTTGCTGGGCGAGCTCTGGATGGCCATGACGATGAGCGCGATGTAGGAGTACGGCGGCTTCTCGGGCCGCCGCAGCCCGGAGCTCGCCTTCTTGGAGCCCGCGCCGCTGCCCGAGCCCTTGCAGGCGGCCGGGGCCGGGGCCGGGGCCGG